TTTAGACCCAAAAAATGTTTTATTTCAGGTATTTTTTTTTTGGGGGGGGGGGAGTCCTGTGTTTAAGACCAATTTTTTTTTCCAGGTATGAAAGAGAGAGACCATCCCATAGCACTTAGAGATTCCTTTCCATATTTTGGAGTGGGGGGACCTAACAGCACAGCTTGCATTCCTTATTAGTGAAAGGGAGGAAGAGTCCAGCAGCATTTTAATGACTAACAAAATTTGTGGCAGGGAATGAGCTTTCATGAATCACTGCTCACTTCCTCAGATACAGCTGAACTATGAGTCCATCTGTTCTTATATCTTGGAGAGTGAAGTAATTTCAGATGCCAAAAGACAAGAGCAGGCATTGATAACACATGGAATTCACTGCCACAAGAGGTGGCGACGGCTAGAAGTATAGACGGCTTCAAGAGGGAATTGGATAAGCATATGGAGCAGAGTTCCATCAGTGGCTGTTAGCCACAAGGTACAGATAGGAACTCTCAGTCTGGGGCAAGGGATGCTCTGTATTCTTGGTGCTTGGGGGGGGCAACAGTGGGAGGGCTTCTGGTGTCCTGGCCCCACTGCTGGACCTCCTGATAGCACCTGGTCTTTTTGGCCACTGTGTGACACAGAGTGTTGGACTGGATGGGCCATTGGCCTGATCCAAAAGTGGCTTCTCTGATGTTCTTATGAAGGGAACCTCCACATTCAGAGGCACTAAGCCTCTGAATCCCAGAGCTGGGAGGCAACCTCAGGGGAAGGCCTCGGCCTCTCTGCCCCATTGTTGGCTGTCCAGAGGAACCGGCTGGTCACTGTGTAAGACAGGATGCTAGACTAGATGGACCCTCACTGGTCTGACCCAGCAGGGCTCTTCTGACATTCTGATGATCCTTTTTCCGTGTTTACCTGGGAGTCAGGCTTTTCTCTTGCATTCTCTTCCTGGTCCTCTCCGTCGGGAGCATCTGCAGCCGCTTTCTCTTGAGCGGGGGGTGGTGTTGGTACCTGCTGCTTGACCTCCTTTTCACCGGCAGCCCCAGCATCATCCTTCTGGTCCTCCTTTCCGGATTCTGCTTGGCTCTCCTCCTCCTCCTGGGCAGGCAGGCAGGCAGGGAGGGGTAAAAATTTAGCACAACGAAGCTTTTCCAGCCAGGCAGAGCTACGGATGTACCCACCAAGGCAACCCTGCCTGTGCTGAGGCCACCCAGCACCACGGTTCTGCTGCCTCCCACAAGTGCTTGACACAGCCTCACCCTGTGCTGAAGGGGAGCACGGGCAATGCTTGGAGCAGGACCCCAATTTTGCCCCCATCCCAGCCACACAGTCAGCAGAGTAGCACTCACCTGAACAGTCTCCGTTTGGTTTGCAGGGGCTTGTGGCGCAGTACTGCCTCCGCCAAAGAGGCTGGAGATGGTGTTCCCCAGCTCTGCCCAAGAGAGACACACGGCTCAGATGCGCCGGAAGAGCCAGACAACACATATCCCTGTCGCTCAGACTCTGGGGACTCTGGGATCCAGCTCACTGCCTGCCACTTTGATTGCCCTGGTTGACAGCTCTCACCAGGAGGCACAGACTCAAGTTTCCTTAAAACCCGCTCTTTCATAGAGCAGTGCAGGGCTGCTGGCTTGAAGGAGGTGACAGTCACTGACACCCTTCCAACCTGGCGGAAGGATTAAACTCAGAAGCCTTTGCTGCATTTCTTTCATCTCATCTGGTGGCAGCAAAGCAGCACCTAGAACTTTTGAACGAGACACTGCCCCCCCCCATGGCTCTGCTGGTACGTCCAGTAATGCCATAAAAGCATGATGTGACAACAGCACAACCCCAGCCCCAGGGAGCCTCCCCATGCAGTTTCTGCCACGGAGTCTGTCTCCCACACGGTTAGATCAGTGGCATGAAACCTTGGCAGAGTGGGGGGGGGGGGGGGCCCCCCCCCCCCGAGTGTGCTGCCAGCCCTGGGCTGCTGGGATCCAGCTGTCTCTTGGTTTCCTGGACTCGGGGGAAGAAGCCCTAGAGCCCCTGAATAGGTGCCCTGGATCAGTCCCTGGCCGTACGAGGGTGAATGAACTGGAGCGGAGTCCAGGGGGGGCACAGAACCCAGGTGGGGAAACAAAGATCTGTGCAGGAGGATATCTGTGCACTCTCCTGGGAAGATCTGCAGGCCGACTTGGCCTCAATATTTGCTTCACTTGAGAGGTACAATCACAGCTTGCGTTTGCATGGCTCACTCTACATACAGATAATCTTGGGGCAATGCTCACAGCAGTCCTATACAACAGACCAGTACTATCCCTGTACTGGAGTGACGGAGCAGAGAGTAGGAGTGTGGCTTCCCTGAACGTCACTAAGGCTGCAAGCCTAAGAACACCGTCCCAAGAGAAAGGCCCCCTAGAATGAAATGGGACTTCCTTCGGAGCAGTGTGGCTTGGAACTGCTCCCTTATTGAGGCAAGATTTGGACCTGGGATGTCCTGGACCATAGCTGGCTTTTCCCCTTGCTCCTGTAGGGGACAGGAGGAAATAATGCTGTTCTGTAGGATCTCCCCACCCCTCCCACAAACTGGATATGAAGTTGTACCCTGCTACTGCTAGGCCTTTTAATGGTTTTTAAATTGGCTTAATTTAGAGGTTTTACGTTATAACTCACTTGGGAAACAACAGTTACAGAGCAGTATATAAAATATAGCGAAATGTAAACAAACAAGCTGCAGTTATCTGTTTGTCACCCAAATTGTTTCTCTGGAGCTCGAGATTAGACCGAGGCAGCACCTCGCAGCACCTCTCGCCGGGGGGGGGGGAGAGAAAGCCCTGATCTTGCTCCCCCCCCAGCGCTGCACGCACAGCGAAACAGACTGGGAGGCCCAGGACAGAGGACTGCACACCAAAGGAACCGGCGCTTGCAGCCCCAGCTTGCTGAACTGAAAAGCTATGGGGCAACAAAATGGGGGGGGGGGCAGGCTCGTCCTCCGTCCCCTCCCTAACTAACAGCAGCTAAGGGCCAGGCTGAGAGAGAGCGGTGGACCACCGGCTCTGCAAGAGGCGGCCCAAAGATCTTACTTGTGAGCGTGGACTCCTCCTCTGGTTTGTCCTCCACCACCGTCTCAAACACCGATTCCACCTGGAGAGCAAGGCACCAAGCACCATGATGAGACAGGGAAGCCCCCCCGGAAAGACCCCGAAGATGCCCCAGGGCAAGAGGCTGCACTCACACGGTCCAGGCTCAGCACGCCGCTCTCGTCCATGTTGAAGTGCGCCTTGATGCCTTTGGACTCATAGTCCACGTGCTTCCTGAAGCTCTCCCCCACGCCTCGCAGCCTCACCGTGGTGAGGTTCAGGGACCCGAAAGTCCTGTAAAGTCCAAAGCAAGAGCCACAGTAGAGTTGCCTACACAGCTGCATCTCCACGGCGGGGTGACCCAGCAGCCAGCGGGCCTGCAAGAACAGCCAGTCCTTGAATTTGGGGACAGGCGAAGCTCCCAGGAAGTAGCTTGGAAAATGCTGCTCAACTCTCACTGTCCGGAGAGCTCCAGTGGCTCGGAGCCAGTCCCCTGCCAGCCCCTCTTTACGTTCTTTTACCAGCTCTGTCGCTTCGCCACCCTCTTTCAGAGGAGGCCCTTCCCGGGCACAGACACTGCAAGCTCCACTGGCAGCAGCAATGCCAACACGGGGCAGGGGGCCATCTCTCTGGCCCCCAGGAGCGCACACTCACCGCAGGTCGCTCTCGCTCAGGAAGCCCATGTCTGCATAGTTGACGTGGAACTCAAAGTCATCCGTGTAGCGGTTGAAGGTGATGACCTTGCGCTGAGGGTAGGGAGCCATGCGCTGGAAGAGAATCCGCCGGTTGTGCTTCAGGCTCTTGGGTCTGTCCTCCTCTTCCACTTCACGGGTGAACTCCACCTGGCAGGCAGAGGAGACGAGAAGTACTTAGTTCCCCGGCAAGTCCATCTTCCCCCTCCCCAGCACATCACGTCCTCCCCCTGCACGCGTGGCAACAAGCCACAGCTCACCTGGATGGGGAAAACGGCCGCGTCCCTGACGAGGAAGGGCTTCACTTTGAAGGCCTTGCTCAGCGCAGCTGCCTGGTAGACCGCCCCCATCGCAGCCGCTTCATCCGCATTGATGTTCTTCCCCAGCTCATCCCTGAGGTTGGCGACAGAGAGCACATTCAGCTGCACACAGATTTGGCCAGAATGGCGGGAACGGGGGGGGGGGGGGGGGGCGGGGGGGGGGGGGGGGAGAAGAAGAAGAGATTGGATTTCTACCCCGCCCTTCACTACCCAGAGAAGTCTCAGAGCGGCTTACAAACCCCTTTCCCTTCCCCTTCCCACAACAGACACCCTGTGAGGTAGGCGGGGCCGAGAGAGCTCTTTCCTGAACTGTCCTTGAGGGAACAGCTCTGACAGAACTACGGCTTGCCCAAAGTCATCCAGCAGCTGCAAGTGGGGGAGTGGGGAATCAGACCCAGTTCTCCCAGATTAGAGTCCGCGCACTTCACCACCACACCAAACTGGCTTTCACAAACGGGGAGGACCAGAGATCAGCCTGGCACTTACTTGCCAACAACTTTTAGCAGCATTTCTTGAACCTTCGGCACTCGAGTGGCACCTCCAACTAGGATCACCTGGTCAATGTCATTCTGGAAATTTGAAGAAAGTTTGGCGATACAACTTTCAAGAATTCAGGCTGATTCCTGTCTTCCAACCCTGCAGTTTGGGTTCTGCAGATCTAGGGAGCAGGAGCAGCGACCCCACCCCACCCCCCGTGTGATGCAGATGGTCAGATCTCAGAAGCGAAACAGGGTCAAGCCTCAGTTACTTGGAAACCACCAAGGAGATCCAGGGCTGCTGGGCAGAGGGAGCCAAGGGCCAACCACCTCCGCTCCTCTCTTGCCTTGAAAACCCTGCGGGGCGGCCATAGGTCAGCTGTGACCTGACAGCCCTTCCCACCCCCACCAAGGCCCGCCTGCACCTACCAGACTCATCCCAGAACTGTCCAGCGCCTGATGCACAGGCCCTGCAACCCGCTGGAACAAGTCAGCACACAAGTCCTCAAACTCCTGCCGGGAAACCTTGGCCTTGAAGTCAATGTCATCCAGCAGGCCCTCCACCTGGGAAGGAAGGCAGGACAGGCGGGAGCATCCCATCAAACGGTGCTCCCCACACACCCGTTTGCTCCGGAGCTCTCCAGGGAAAGGGGAGAAAAGCCTCGGGTGTTAAGCCTGTCTTTTTCTGATAAAACCTGGAAGTCAGCAATGCCAGAAAAGGCCAAATGCTTCATGACCTGGTAGTTGGGGCGGCAAAGCCTGTCTATGCTTGCAAGGGACCGATGCAGTCCAGAGCTGAACAACTTGCACCCGTGGCTCCTAAGGGCAGCTACCTGGGCCATGTGGTCAGCATTGGCGCTCAGCACTGTCTTCAGGCGATTGGCTTCCTTCAGCAGCTTGGCCATGGCCCGGAGGTTTTGCCGGACATCCTTGGAAGGGTGCTGTTTGTTGAACTGCTCGGCCAGGTAGTTGCGAAGGCGCAGCTCCATTTCCAGTCCTCCAAGCGTGCGATCAAATCTAGCAGAAGACAAGCAGGACCCTCCACTCAACTACCACCAGCTGCTCCAGGACTCGGGGTGACGGCTGGCCTCTCTCACCAGCCCACCCCCACGCCTTGGCTTTCTGGACACCTCCTGATCACACATTGCGCGTGACAGTCCTGCTGCCACCGGCTGGGAGAGGGCCCCGCTTCACAAACCTGCCTCCCTCTGGACTATCCAACAGATCCAATTGCAAGGGAAGAACTCCTACCCAACACCCAGGATCTGCAGCTGAGGCTGGGTCCCTGAGTCCTTTGTTTTCACCGTCTGGTAGGTCACAATGGTGCACACGGTGCTGCCGGCCCCCATGTCATAAAACATGATGTTCTGGAAACAAAAGAACACCAGCTAAGAAAAGCAGGGAGCAAACCACACAGGTGTGCTACTGAACTCTCAGTGTGGTTTTGAGCAACCAACGCTGTCCACAGCAGGTTCCCATGGGATGCGTGTGATGGAGACAAAACAGCCAGCTTTCTGTTGCTCTTATAATAATACCTGTTGCTCGGAGCTAACCTAAGCAGAGAGCTCTTTCCTTCCTCTACAAAGGAGAGTGGAGCCCCCCCAAGCGCAGACAGGGAGCTGCTGATTTACTGCATTTGTACACAGCCACTTCTCCTCGATGAGGAAATAAAGGGGCTTACATCGTTTTCTTGCCCTCTTTTTTATCCTCACGACAACCCTAGGAGATAGGTCAGGCTGAGAACCTGTGACTGGCCCAAGGCCCCCTCCCCCCCGCAGGCGTCTTCCACGGCAGAGCGTGCGTCAGCCGTGGTCTCCCTCCCAGGCCGATACTCAGACCCACGAGGCCATGCTGGCTCGATGAACAGCCCTCCCTCCATTTTGCAGGGGTCCTCCAGTCTTCCCAGAAGCACCTGGGGTGTAGCATCAATGTCCTTCCTCCGAAATACGCCGTAGTTCAAAGCCACCGCGGTGTTGTCGTTGATGAGCTGCAGAACCTTGAGATCCGCCATCTTGGCTGCGTGCAGGACGGCTCTCCGCTCCGCCTGGTTGAAGTAGGCCGGGACCGTGATCACGGCGTCCTTCAGGGGCTGTTCTGCAAGAGGAGCAGAAATCACCTCACGCGTCACCATCTTTTTATTTGGCGACTGAATGCACTCCGCTCCTGCCCCTCCCCCAGACACCCAGCCAAGCTTTCTGCCCCTCCAGACCTGCGAACTCCTCTGCCAGGGAGCGGGAGTAGTTCAGGACCATGCCCAGGACCTCTAAATAATCAAAAGACTGCATAACAACTGACTGAGGGGGGGGGGGGGGGGGAGAGTCAAAGGGGGCACTACTGGCTCCAGAAAGCCCCCCTCTGGATCCCATCTGAGAGGGCTGGAGGGAACCCATCATGTCCACAGTAACAAACAACCTCTGCAACTCTGTCTGGGGACAGAGACAGCCTGGCCGGTGCCAGGCAGGGCTCACTTGGGAGCTCCCTTCCTCCCTGGTCCCCATTCCCTGCCGAGTGTGTCACTCGAGAGGCCAGCAAGTTTTTGGCAGAAATTCTGTGTGGCACAGGAGCACCCGCCCCCAGCAAGTGAGGTTCACTTCCAACAGTCCACCCACTTCCTGGATATGTTCTATGTTTTCTGTAAGTCAGCTTTGCAGGCGGCCGGGGGGGGGGGGGGCACATGGGGGACAGACACATTATAGAATGGAGCAGCCTCGCTGACAGGAGGAGGGACTTTCCTGCTCTTCATCACGGCAGAAGCAAAGACAGCCAGGCCTCCAAGAGTTGAGCCTGACCACAACTTCTGTCCCACCAAGCTCCCGCAGATGCACCCTTCGTGCCACGCTGCAAAGGTGCCCCAGTCCCCCCGCCCCAGCCACCCCACATGGTCCCCTCCAGCCCCAACCCCTCCCACTCACTCTGACAGCCTGAAGGCGACCGTTTGTCTCCGGGCATCCTTCACCAACTCGTGCTCTGGAAACCGTGACTGGAACAGCGCCACCTGGGGGTTACCTATGTGCTTGCCCAAGAGGTCCTGGAAATAGCGGAAGGCTACTTTGGGGCTCCTGATGGCCTGGGGGTGGGGAATGTGGTAATAAGAGTGTCAAGTCCTCAAGAAGCAGTAACCAATCATCAAATCATTTTTATTTAGGCATGCTAAGGTGGCACTTCTTCACGGCTTTTCCAGTCACATGAAGTTTAAAGGAAAGTTTTGAAGCCAAGGCTACAAATCCTCAACAATTAACTCATTTTAAATGGTAAATATACCAAGCAAAGGAGCATTTGAAGACAGACGATGCTCAAAGTCAAACATGCACATTTTCACTTCATTTCCCGTGAGGTCAAGCACATGCAAGACTTCCTGATGTGTGAGTTCTGAAAATTAGCTGCCAGAAATGCAAGCGTCTTTTCTCCACTGAAAGATTTGAGTGCACTGGAATAAAATAGGGGGTGGGGGATCTTTTTCATTCTCCCCACGCACAAATAAGAACTTTTTTTCAATGTTTATGATGGAGACCACTGAGAGAAGAAAAACACTGTAAAACATTATACAAGAACATAAGAGAAACCAATGTTGAATCAGGCCAATGGCCCATGTAGTCCAACACTCTGTCACACAGTAGCCAAAAATACCAGGTGCCATCAGGAGGTCCAGCAGTTTTAGAATAAACAAAATGATTCTTAAGGCAAGGTTTCTCTTCACTCAAAATGTGTACCATAAAAAAACCCCGGGAAGTTTTCAGTTTTCCAATGGAACAATTAGGAAATTTGGGGGCAGACTGAAAAAAATTCCTATGATGAGGAGATACTTGTGGAATGAATGAAACACAAGCTTTTACTCAAAATGTGTAGTATGAAAATATGTGAACAGCAATAGATATTGATAATTCCAATCTATGTTGTAGGCATGTACAATACGTTCAAGAAAACTTCATTTACAAACAACTAATTGTGACAATAGTTCATGTGCCATACTCCGTTTATTGATAAAACTTTACAAGAGACTCCAGCATTTCCAATGTTGTAAAGATTAATCTAATATCCCAATATGCAGGTGATCCTACTTCTTAAAGGTAAAGGTTCCCTTGCTCGAAAGCCAGTCGAATCCGACTCTAGGGTTGCGGTGCTCATCTCCGTTTCAAAGCCGAAGAGCCAGTGCTGTCCAAAGATGTTTCCATGGTCATGTGGCCGGCATGACTAAACACCAAGGCGCACGGAACACTGTTACCTTCCTACCGAAGTGGTACCTATTTATCTACTTGCAATTTCTTGCTTTCGAACTGCTAGGTTGGCAGGAGCTGGGACTAGAGACGGGAGCTCACTCCGTCATGCGGCACCCGGGTCTGGAACTGCTGAACTACTGACCTTCCACAGTCTGCAGTTCAGCATCTTAACCACTTGAGCCACCACAGCTCCTACTTCTTACGACCATACAATAGTGTTTCTGTCCAAATAACATACTTTGCAATTTCAAGCTAAATTCCTCCCTATGTCTCAGGTGGCAAAAATCAATGTACTATAGCAGCATAAGGTACGTATATGCAGTGCTACAAAAACTACGCAAGAGGCAGAGGGGAGGGGGAAAGAGATTCTGTGTCTCCGGCTCACCATTCCGACAGCACTGTCACCGAAGAGGCGCTCGTTCTCCTTCAGGGTGACCACCACTGGCGTTTTCCGCCGAGATTCCCTAAAGCAAGAAGAAATGTTCAAACAGGAATCTTTCCTCACCTCCTAGCAACTGTTTTTCTGTTGGGCTCCAGAACTTGTGGGACAACAAACGAGCCTCCAAGCACCTGCTGAATGCCTTTCCTTCTTGCCTGCATCGCAAGGCGGACAGGCAGTGGATGAAACCACCTCTTCTCTGGTGGCTGAGATTACTCCTTTTAAGTGGGGATTTTGACAGTGTGAGGCGTTTAAACTGATGACGGCTCATCTTTATTTATTCATTCATTCATTCGTCTTATCCGTCCACAAAGATGCCCCCAAGCCCACTTACTTGTTTAAAACAATTTCCATGGGAACCCCCGGCTTGACAATGGCTATCTTCATGGACTCGCTGCCCAAGTCCACCGACATCACAGCCAGCGCATCTAACCCACAGGGAGAGCTGTGTCAGAGAGACTCGGCACGAAGAAGGTTGGGGGGGGGGTCTACCCTTTTATAATGCACCTGCCCCCCCCCGCCCTTCCTCCTAGGGCTGGACAGAGTTTCAGGACCCTGGAAAGCTGTCCGGCTGCCGCCAGTCGCACGTGGGCCACCCAGCACCTCTCTCGTGTGAAGGCGCTCGGGGCCACCCCGAGGCCGGCAGCGGGCAGAGCCGGGGCTCCCTCTCCCTCCCTCCCTCCTACCTGAGCGGGGGGCCAGGCAGGCCAGCAGGAGGAGGGCGGCCAAGGGCCAGCGGGACATCCTGGCGGCGGGGGCGGCGTCCTGCGGGAGAAGCGAGAGGGAGCTTGAAGGGGGTGGGGGGGGGGAGAAGAGCCGCGGCGGCGGAGCACCAGGCCCCAGCCAGGGGAACCGGACCCGGCCCCGACCCCCGCCACCCCCCCCCCCCCGCCGG